GCTCACAAAGATTAGGAACTCAGAATGCGTCCCACACAGGTCACACTCCACAGGCGGTTTGGGCTAAGTTTTTCATTTTTTTATCTAGCTTCTATTTATTTTCATTAATTTTATTATTTCATGTTTTTTATTTTTTGCTTTTCAATTTTTATTTTAATATTTTTTTATTTATAATTTTATTTATATTTGCCCCTTATTTATTAAAATTTTATTATTTTGCGTTAATTTTTAATTTTAATTTGTATGTTCGTTTATTTTATGTTTAACTTTATATATTTTGTTTTTATTAACTACCCATTCAAGCCGGCACGCTACCATCGAAATAAAATCCCCGCAATACAAGCTGTATAGTGCAGGGACTATAGCATGTCCGACTGGCACCACACCGACCCGGGTTCAAGCCGCTGTGGCTCATAGTTTACATATTGTCACGAGTGACAATTGATGAGGTGGTAATAACTGAAGAAACTAAACGTTTAATGGGGCAAACTTGTGCCCCCAAAAAAAGTGAAAGCCGTTTACAACTCCCTGTAACGCCGAATTAGAGCGCAGCTCTTGAGGAGGAGGAGGGAAGGGTACTGGGGGGGTCAAGTGACCTTGGGTGGGGGTCACGTGACGATGACGATGCCGATGACGTCATCAGTAACGATGACGATGCGGATACCGGTGACGTCATCAGTGATGATGACGATGCGGATGCCGGTGACGTCATCAGTGACGTCACTGATGACGTCATCAGCGATGATGACGATGACGATGCGGATGGTGATGATGACGATGCGGATGCCGGTGACGTCATCAGTGACGTCACTGATGACGTCATCAGTGATGATGACAATGACGATGCGGATGCCGGTGATGTCATCAGTGATGACGATGACGATGCGGATGCCGGTGACGTCATCAGTGACGTCACTGATGACGTCATCAGTGATGATGACAATGACGATGCGGATGCCGGTGACGTCATCAGTGATGATGACGATGACGATGCCGGTGACGTCATACGTGACGCCACTGATGACGTCGTCAGTGATGATGACGCTGACGATGCGGATGCCGATGACGTCATCAGTGACATCACTGATGACGTCATCGGGGGTCACGTGACTTGGGGAGCCACGTGACCTTGGGGGTCACGTGACTCTAGGGGAGGGGTCACGTGACCTTGGGGAGTCACGTCACCTTGGGTGTCACGTGACCTTTAGGAGGGGTCACGTGACCTTGGGGTGACCTTGGGGGTCAAGTGACCTTGGTTACGCTGACGGCAATGGCGACGCCGACGGCGACGCCGCTCAAGTCGGGAACGGGCCCCTAAGAGCTGTGCTCTAAAACTAAAAGAATGGAAAAGAAAGCAGAGCGTCGCGGGCGTCGAAGTCAACGTGAAGCAGAGTCAAACGCTGGGGCGAAACTGACTCCGGCTTGCCACACGGAGCCCCTTTTCTACACGCATGGGCTTCTGGAAACATCGGCGTAGATGGTTCGGCGTGTCGAACATTCTAACCTCGAATCAGCAACATGTTTCTCGAATGTACCAGAAAATTGCATTAGAATCAAGAAAAATGCGTCTTTGTGGCCAGGAATCGAACCCTGGCTTTCTGCGCGGAAGGCAGGCGTGATAGCCGTTAGGCCACGAGCGCGCTGCCTACCCTTGGCCACCTGCGTGCGCGGCAGTATAACTGTCTGTGACACTCCTAGTGTGTCACTTGCTCATGATACAGTCGACTCCCGTTAATATGAAGTTCACGGGGACCACGAAAAACTTTGAATTAAACAAACTTCCAATTAACCACAAGGAACAAAAAGAGTAATTTTTATTACCTAATTTAAAAACAATGAAAAAAAAGAAAATTTGATTGCCATCTGCATCTTTTTGCAGAATCTTGCTGCGGAAAGTAAGTTCTACAGACTGTAGGTGTGCCCGGGTGCTCCTTCAGCATTGCTCCCTGCTGCAAAAAACTGCTGCGCGAGGGCTGGCCGCAGCTACATCAGCAGCCGGCGGTTGCGGCTCAGTTTCAACACCATCGTCGATTTCACTTTCATCGCTAGCTTCGCGTAGCCGAACACTCTCAATGATTTCAACGTCCGTCAGCACTCCGCTTGCTTCCACTGCGCTGTCCACGGCAACGTACCCTTCGAAACGGACGTCGCTGAGAGCTGCTGCAAGACCATTGTCATCAAGCTCACTTGTCTCTGCTTCCTGCGTTGGATTGCCGCGACTGCAGCCGAAATGTGGCACGTGGAACCCGAGGTGGAACAAGACCAGCGCACTCTCGAACCAACTTGAGAAAAGACGCGAAAAGAGACCAAAAGAAATGATGCCATTGTTCCAAGGTACGGCTTGCGCCAGTCTTGACTGTCTAATCTTGCCGCTTCATGAGCTGTGGCGCTCTGGTCGGCTGCTTTGCCGACAATACCAGCGCGGTACACAAAGCTGTTTTTGCTCTTCAAAACTTGCAAATTTATCAAATATTACGGTTGTTTCGAGGCTTCCGTTTGAAAATCAACTTGTAATTATCCAATATTTTAGACTTTTCGCTTCCAATTACCGAGCATTTTTCCCAAAGAATTGTATGCAGAACTGAAGGGACCCTCACTTCCAATTAACTGACAATTCCAATTAAGCGACTTCAAATTATCGGGAGTTGACTGTACTCGCTATGACGCTCATTCATTGCAATTTTCTCCTGAAACCGTAAAACATATTCTGCATTAAAAACATATTCCTACAACATACGATGGAGGATATTTACACGCGCAACACGATGAAAGATTGGCTCTGACGGGTTAGATTGTTCTCTGTGGTGGCGGGTTAAAAAAAAAAGAACAATTAGCAGCACGAGCATAACTGTAATCTGCGGGGAACGAAACGAATGTCGGCGTTCTCAAAAAGACGTCAACTGAATGTGTATTGGACGGTGAATGTGATACAATAGCAGTCGTGACAATGACAGAGCGGGCAAGTGTCTAATGGTGATAATCTCAACTCTTCTCTCGGCCAAATACCGTACAAGCGTCGCCCATGGCAGCAGCACACGAATCCCAATGTGAAACAAACCACACTGACTTATGGTCAGCCATTCCTTCACAATGTGAATCTCCAAACACATTTTTACCCCCGCCGAACATTCTTCAGAACCTCCACAAAACTGGTAAAGCAGCTGCGAGCTGTTGCTTCGTCGGTTAGGCTCAGCTGGTCCACCACCGTAAGATTACTTATCTCGTGAGAGGTAAAAACGGGAGATATTTCCCACGCCGATTTTTCCTGTCCCTGCTGCGACCGAATGTCATCCATTCCAATGTAATCGTCGTACCATTGAATGCACAGGCACATTGTGGAACCAAATTTCGCTGCTGCCTCGCCGCACGCTATGCACCACTGCCGTCACCAATCCCAGCAAAACCACCAGACCACCGCTGTCTGCGCTGCTCCAAATTTTGACGGTAAAAAAAGGGGCGCCAAAGAGCTCTCCGAGATAGACGAGCGCCCTGGGAAAAAACTGTCCGAGCTCGTGACGGCGCTTCCTTTCCACCTTTAATCTTGCACGCTTTGGAAGGAGCACTCGAGAGCGTGCAGAAAACACCAGGCGAATTCACCATAAGAAAGGCCCAGCAGGGACCACCCAAACTCTTTCTTCCTGCTTTACTGGGGCCCCAATCTACACGGCGGGACAAAGGGACGGGACATTGCCACCTGCTGTGATTGGTCAGTGCTGGATGCATAAATGAAAGGTACCTCGAGGGTTTGTGAATTCTTTACGTAGTAAAAAAAACCTAATGTAGTTGAATGGTCAGAGTTTTGTTGTAATATTTTGCGTATGCGAGCTATCTTTTTTCTCTCAAGTTTCTTGAAAGCAGAGTGTTCTGTGACAGAGGTCTGGCGGCTACGAGTTTGCGGGCATATCAAGAAGGCAATTGAATATATGCAGTAGCCGAGTTTTGAGGCATTGTCTGTCCCCATTCATTCTTGTTTGGTTGAGGGTTATTTGATTTCCAAATTTTTAAGGTGCGTCATTAGTAGCACATACATATACCATCGAAGGTGGGGCCAAAAGTGGTGCTCTCCCACAATAGTTTTTTTTTTTTTTTTATTGATTTTTCTTGGTAGCCGAGTTTACAGACCTCGTCACTCTCACCTTACCTTAAAATGTCTCTGCAAAGAGTTGAGGTGTGGCCTAGCACTGTCTCTTCTCGCTTTGCTTTCAACTCAGTGGGGCCTCCATAAACCCAGACATCAGCCCGACTCCCGCTTCGTTGACTCACGAGAAGATCGAGCACGTGGCAGAAAGGCGCCACGCGGATCCTTCGTGCCACAGTGGTCAAGGGGGCGGTCAGTCAAGCCCTGCAAAAGCTTTAACGAGACCTTTCCAACCAACATTTATTCTTTGCCCAAAAGGGTAATGTTTTGTTTGTTTTGCCCATTGTACAAGCTAATTAGACTTGCCTTAGTACTATTTTCTGTTTTTTTTTTTTTTTGCACACCGCTTTTCTTAGCACATTGATACGAAGAAAGAAGCAAGCTACTAAGAGTCCGCTTACAAGTTTCACAGCTTGCCAGCTACGACAAAAAGCTCTTTTTCCAACAACTCGTCCACTGACCTTCCAGGAAGACAGAACTCTAAATGTAAATCTGCTTAAACAAAAAAAAAAAAAAAAAAAATTGAGTGGCTGCATTTTTGGCTGTTTTTTGCTTCATGGAATTGCAACACAGATCATAAGTTACTTCCCTATTTACCTTTTCACGAATACGCTTTGCCTCCCTGCAATTCCCTAGGCCACCCCAAGTTGGCTGCTTCTGCCACGAGTCATTCTTGTTCACTATTCTTTGGATAAGGCGTCATTGCAATGAGCCCGTCGTCCCCCCGTTTAAACTCCCAATTGGAGGCAGAAAACTGCAGCCTCTTTTTTTACTAGCGGAGAGGTGCCCCCACGGGAGTCGACTTAAACCCGGGCTTGAACGCCGTCACGAGTCAGGGGCAAGAACCAAGTGTGGGGCTTGCCTTCCTCCCCGAACGGCTGGGCAGGGCAGGTCTCGCAAAGTCCACCGGGTCGGGATCGAGCAGCGACGAGCCCCTGTCCACCACTGCGGTCGCCGGAGAGAATGGCCACGTCAACACAAATAATGTCTCTGGCTAACAAAATCCTCGTACTATTGCAGCGCATAAAATGCACGGTTTGCCTCCCAGCTCTTCAAATAAATAAGCTCGCACATTTTTTACTCACAATATTGCCTTCTGGAAAACTGGGTCATTGCCGTGGAGAAAAAAAAACTGTGTTCAAACTGCGAACCTTTAATTGATCCCCTTAAATAAAGTCTAAAAAAAATTACTTTCAAACAAAAAAAAAACATTTTTTTAGGAGCTGTATTTATTTATGGCGCGGAACTAATTTGTAGTTGTTGCCCACGGAAAAGTGGCTGCTATGGTCATGTAACTATAGTCATCTGGTACTCTTTCGGGAGCTTCCTACGGGCCCTAAAAGTTACTTCTTAATCTTTGCTTTAACTGCAACAGAGGAAACAAAGATTAATATGCAAGCACCATGTAATAGACCCCGTGCACCGGTCAGAAATTGACGGAGGCGGCACGCTAGAGTGTTCCCTTCCGGTGTCGAGGAACGCGTTCAGCCGGCGGTGCGCCACCTTCAGTGTGCGGCGGCGACGTGGGAGTTCTGGGGACCTGAGCGGTTGCGCAGAACGGCTCGGGCGCAACTTGCGGCAGCAGAAGCACAGCGCAGTGGTGCACAGACCTCCCGTGTGACTAGTGGCGGCTCCCACGAGCATCAGCTACAAATTTTTTTTCAAGCCTACTATATATCGTATTTACTCGCACAATGAACGCACTCGCGTAAAGAACGCACCCCTCAAGTTGGCTCTCAAAATTTCGACTTTTTTTTCACTCGCGTAATAAACGCACCCCCAACTCGGACGTCAAAATTTTGACCCCCTCCCCCCACGCCCGCGAAATGAACGCACTTTTCTATCCTGGTGCAGCGAGGTCGCGAATGCATGGGCAGCGTGGGCGAACAAAACGCCTTGCAAAAGGCGTTAAGAAAATTCGCAAAGGTCCAACGGAAGCGAGAAAAAAAAACAAAAAAAACATGAAGAGGAGCTTTCTTTTCTTTTTTTTTGCACAGTGCAGTCTGGATTTTGGGTTCGCGCGCCGCCGCGCGCAAGGAGGTAAGAAAGAGAAGCGGAGAAGCGCTCTAAACGAACGAAACAGCTCGCAAAAAGCGGCAAAAAGAAAAAAAAAAACAAAAAAAAAAAGACGTAACTAAGAGAAAACAAAAACAAAGGAGCTTTTTTTTCTTCTTTTTTTTTTTTGCACAGCGCAGTTTGGTTACGGGGTCGCGCGCCGCGCGCGAAGAGGTAAGAGAGAGGAGCGGAGAAGCCCTCTAAGCAAACAAAACAGCTTGCGAAAGGCGGCAAAAAAGAAAAAGAAAGAAAAAAAAACCACGCATCTAAAAAAACAAAACAAAAAAAAGAGCTTTTTTTTCTTCTTTTTTTTTTTGCACAGCGCAGTTTCGTTACCGGGGGTCGAGCGTCGCGCGCCGCGCGCAAGGAGATAAGGAAGATAAGCGGAGAGCCCTCCCCTAAGCAACGCCTAAGCAAACAAAACAGCTTGCGAAAGGCGACCAAAAAAACAAAAAAACAAAAAACAACCAAGGAACTAAGAGAAAAAGAAAACAGTTTTATTTTTTTTTATTGCACAGCTTAGTTTGGTTAGGGGGTCGGGCGCCGAGCGCGAAGAGATAAGAAGTTACTTCGATTTTTCAGGATAAAAGGTCCGTTCATTATGCGAGTAAATACGGACGCAAAAATTTTACTTCGCGTAATGAACGCCCCCCCCCCCCCCCAACTTTGCATCGATTTTTCGGAAAAAAAAGTGCGTTCATTCTGCGAGTAAATACGGTAGCTCTAAAAAGAAGCTTTTTTGGTTGTAAATTTAACACCCTTTTCTCATCCAGGCTGTTTAAAAAAGAGTTTGTTTTCCTATGTTTTTTAAATGATACGACGTAAAGGGTATAAGGGCAAGTGCGCCATCATTGGGTGGAGAGACTAGCGGAAAATTTAATTTAATATTTATGACCTTAAGGGGGCCCTGGGGGGGTGCAACTTTTGAACCCTAGTCTTAAAATTAATGAAATTTACAGGGTAGGCTGGCGGTCATTCTAGAGGGTGAATAACCAAATTTCAGGTCTGTTGGTTAAGTGAGAAGGAAATTAGAGCAGCTTCTATCAGCAACACGCCTACATTGTTTAGTTAATCTATCGTCGGAAAACTATCACAATATTCAAGATTTTTATTTGCTAGATATGTAGCAGAATGCCTAGAAGGTGCAGCTATGAAAAGTTTTTTTTAAAAAGTCATTTATTTCTATCAATTTTCTCTGCTGCAAAATTGGTCAACTTTTTGGTCTTCTCTGTCTTCGACACAATGTCAACATTTTTTATAAAAGACATCTGTAAAGTGACAAAAAATTCTATAGCAGCACTTGTTATTAAATTTCAGTCAGGAAAAGTGAAGAACGAACCTTCCCTGCATTGCCACTATCAAACGATAGACTGACTAAAAGGAAATTTATACCGAAAAGTGGAATGGAGAAAAATGCATTCAAAGTGCTCCAAACCCTACCTTTTTTTTAGCTTCGGTGGAGAGAAAATAATTTATAAAAAATTAACTCTGCAGTGTAAACTAATGAAAATTTCTGGCAATACTCTCTAGATGTTGGTGGATGTAAATACTATGTGGTTTTTTCAAAATCAATATTTTTTGCAGATTTTTTTTTTTCTGGGCAGTGTCCCCTTTTAAGGGCCTCTTCAGAGAGGCATTACACAAGGGGCCTGTCATATTCAAGGTTCGAAAACAAAACAACAAAACACTACAAAATAAGAATGCCGAGCAAGCAGCCAGTTAGAGGTTTGGAGTAATGACGGAGGACAGGCACTCCTTGGGTTAGAGAGCGGAGAAGGAGCAAGCGGTGGGCACTTGCTCGCTTTGATGCAACGGTAGAGGAGCAGCATGCAATGGAACTCCTAATGGTCGCTAGCATACATCACATGCTAGTCTGGACAGGAATGGAGGGTTACCCCGGGGAGGCAGTGGGGGAGGGCAGGCCTCCTCCCTGTGCTCCCTCAGGAGGCTGTTGTGGTGCTCGCTGCCCGGCCTCGCCGTCGGAGAGCTGTAGAAGGCGTGGCTGGACCCGTCCGACCGCTCTCTCCGGTGGGCCCTCCCCGTCTGCTGCTCGGCCAGGCTCAGCTGGAAAGACGCCCAAGACGCTGCAGCCACCCGCCCCATACCAAAGCCCTACCCCTTGGCAGAGTTTTGGACGTGCTGCCCGATTGGGCCTGCCTCCAGACACGGTCGATGCCGAGCCGGACTAAGAGGTTTTCGCATTTGATACCCCTCGAGAAAGCGTCATCGAAGTGGGCTCGGGAGCAGTGACGACGACATGGCTCTCATGCCGCGTTTCTGCATTTCGCAGGAAATCCTGGCGTTTTTCCTGCTCTGGTTTTTACCCTCGGCTTCTGCTTCGACCGGGATCTCGGTTCCGCTGATGTCATCGTCTGAGATCAGCAGCCACGTGTGCCTCTTCAGCAGCATCACCTTGGATCGGCCGTCTCGGATACTCCCAACCTTCGGCACAACGGCGTCAGCAACAGCGACATCGGTTCCCGTCCCCTACTTAAACAGCATGCCACGCGAACACTACTCCAGTGGGTTCGAGAGCAGTGACGACGACATGGCTCTCATGCCGAGTTTCTGCATTTCGCAGGTGTGTAAACAATTTTCACTCTACGCTAAAAAATGCGACAATCGCTGCCTTCTTTTGCTCCCGAGCCCAGGAGAGCTGAGTGATATTGCTTGTGATTGTTTTTCAATGTTGTTATTGTCGTTGCGCTCCGGCGACGTCGAGACGAATCTGGGCCCTCTTACTCGTTCGGAGGCTGCTCTTGAGGTTGAATCTCTACTTGATGAGCCCTCCGAGCAGATGTCTGTTATTTTTAACCTTCTGAAAGACCTTCAGGCCCGCTCTATTCATTCGGCAAAAAGTCAGGCTGAATTGGTCGCCGACGTAAAGTCAATAAAGGCTGGTCAGAAAAACATAGAAACTAAAATCGGTCACATCCAGCAAAGGTTGGATACCTTAGAAGAAAAGACAAAAAAACTTGACAGTTTAGATCAAGATTTGGCCGGTGTGTTGGGTTCCGTGAAAGTCTTGACCACCCAGCATGACTGTTTACAGTCGCGGCTAGACGAACTGAAGGACAGGTCACGGCGCGACAACCTTATATTTTACGGAATTCCTGATTCTCGTGAATCATGGCAACAATCGGAGGAACAATTGCGGAAATTTCTTGCGGAAACTGTTGACACCCTTTCGGGCGGTGCAATTGAGCGTGCTCATCGTTTAGGGTTCTACTCGGCAAATAAATGTCGCCCCCTCATAGTTAAATTTTCAAGCTACAAAATAAAAGACAGCATACTTTCCGCACGCTTCAAATTGAAAAAAAAGAACATCAATGTTAGCGAGGATTTCTCTCCTGCTACGCGTTACGTTCGAAAAAAACTAATTGAGTTTGCTAAAAATCAGCCAGAAGCACCACCGTTTCAGCTTCGCTATAACAAACTTGTCATAAATAGGAGGCAGTACACGTATGACACTGCAACTGAAAGCGTGATACGACTTGCGTCAGATCATACCCCTGATAACCAACAGCCCAGTCTTTCGACACGTGGTCTGAGACAAGAAAACGCGAGGGGCAGTGGACGAATTTTATCTAATGTTTCGGTACTTTTTTCTAACATTCGGAGCGTTATTAACAAGCGTGATTCCTTAACTTCTGCAGTAGATACAGTGGACTCCTCTTAAACGGAACTCGAAGGGACAGAAAAATTTGTTCCATTTATCAGAAGTTTTATTAAAGCAAAGCACATAAAATGAGTGAAATATGACTTTATTTCACAAGCATGATGTCCAGCTAATGTAGCTGACTAGAAAAAAGAGGTAATGGTAGTTTGTTTTGCATTTTGTAATCGCTTTTTGACGAAGTAGGTGTGCATGCCTTGGAGGTACAAAGGTTTCTGTTGACTGCTGCACCTTCCCCAGAAATAGTCTTAAAGACTAGGCCGTGGCGCTTTTTAAAACGGCTGAGCCAACCGTCGCTCATTTTGAAGTTATCTATTCCCAACTGAGACGCAATCTCTCCAGCCTTTTCTTCGAGGATGGGGCCGCTGATCGGGAAATTAGCACTTCGCGCGCGCTTAAAACAGAGAAAAAGGACGTTCTCTATTTCCTCAAAAGGCGTCTTTCGCATCCTCCTTCGGTCGGTGGCAAAGCTTCCGCGCTTTACAGCGTCTTGAATCTTTTCTTTGTCCTTTGATATCCTTGAGAGTGTAGACTTCGGGATATCGAACTTCCTTGCGATCTCCGTCTTCGAGAGGTCACCACGATCCAGCTCTTGAAGGATTTTCATTTTCGTAGCAAGCGAGATCGCTTGGTGCGGCCGCTTTTTTACCGCTTCCATCACAACACGGCAAGCGGACGCTGGTTTGTGTACTCGATGGTAAACGTGACGCGCAACAGACGAGGCGCTAACCCTAATGGCGGTAGAAAGACTGGATTGGATTGCCTTAATATAATGGCTTGGATGGATGGATGAATGGCTGTACCGTACCCTTTGTAACGAGCGGCACCTCGCATCACCTAGCCTAACAACTTTTTTTTTTTTTTGTAATAATATTTGTATAAATTTTGTTCTAACACAACCCCTTTCCCTTTAAAGTGTCCTCAGTCTTGGCTATTGCGTACTCCATGGTTGTGAGACTGCTGTAGCTATTTCCGATGTCCGTGGTCGCCATGGGTAGTTTCGGTTTCGGTCCCGTTTAACCGAAGTAAGCAAAAAGGGGGGTTCCGATTACCCGAAGAATTTATCATTAAATACATAGGAAACCAACCGAAACAACCTTTAGAGTTCCGTTTATCCGAATTTTCCGTTTAAGCGAGTTTCGTTTAATGGGAGTCCACTGTAGCTGTAGTGCTGACGTAATAGTTCTAACTGAAACCTGGCTGCACTCTCAGTTCCGTGATCATGAAATTTTCCAAGACGCACATCGTTTTTCTGTTTATCGCTGTGACCACATAACCCGTCAGGGAGGCGGTGTTCTTTTGGCGATATATAAAGAATTTCCATCTCAGTGTACATATGTCCCCAGTGACTTAGAGATTGTGTGGGCTATCATGGAAGTGGGCCACCAAAGAATTGTCATCGGTGTTTGCTATCGCCCCCCCACTATTTCGTCTAGTTTTGTAAATGATCTACACGATGTAACCAACCTTGTCAGAACTCGCTATCCCACGTTACCTTGATTTTTGTTTGGTGATTTCAATATTCCAAATATAACATGGGATGGCGAGACACCCAGTATGGCCCCCTTTTCCACCTTAGCTAATGAATTTTTAGAAATGTGCTCTGTCTTTTCATTCACACAACTCGTTAAACAACCTACCAGAACGACCTCATCTGTCGCAAATGTCCTAGATCTCATACTAACACCTCAGCCCGATCTTGTATCTGACATCAGTTATTTACGCGGCCTGAGCGATCATTCCCTGCTATCACTACACACAAACCTGTCGCGACCTAAAACCATTAAAAAAGTGAAAACTATTCAAAACTACAGGAATGCGAACTTTGAAGCCATAAATACTGAATTATCCGTGTTTCTTGATATTTTTTTGAAGGATTTTGATAAACGTAGCGTACAAAATAACTGGGATATGTTTGTAACCAAGGTTAATGCTCTAACGAATAAGTACATCCCTACTCGCACTGTTATCTCTAACAGTAACGCACCGTGGTTTAACGTTCGCATGAAACGTCTATCTAACAAAAAAAAAACGACTGTTCAGGTCAGCTAAACTTTCTTCAAACGATGCGCGCTGGGCCGCATATCAGCTTGCTTCCGAGGAATACGTAACAGCGATAAGAGAAGCTAAAGCAGAGTATCTTCAAAATACTTTGCCAGTCATGCTAACAACTACCACAAAAAAGTTTAGGCGTGTTATTAACCCAAAAGATAATAACGATATCACCCTCGTCAACAGTTATGGTAATGTCATTCCCTCTAATCAATGTGCCATCGTTCTTAATGATATATTTTCACGCAATTTTTCCGTAACTACAGACGTCCCATTGCCTAATATGAACTCATGTGATTACCTTGCAATGTTTCCTGTTATTATTGATCCCAGTGGTGTTGAAAGCATAATTAGATTACTCAAACAATCTTCTGCCCCTGGTTGGAATTTAATTGACCCAAAATTTTTAAAAAGTACCAGTGTTTATTCTTCTATCATTTTATCAACAGTTTTCCAACAGTCCCCTGACGATGGTTACCTCCCTGCTGAGTGGGAGGTGGGCAAGGTTGCTCCACTCCACAAATCAGGTAACAAAAATTCTCCCCTTAATTATCGACCCATTTCGCTCACAAGCATCCCGCGTATAATTTTTGTTCTGTTTACGAACCTCGCTAACTTTTTTGAATCAAACTCATTTTTCACACCTTCACAACACGGCTTCCGTAAAACTTATTCGTGCGAAACTCAATTGGTATCTTTCACTCATAAACTAAACGCCATTCTTGACCGATCGTCACTTGCCGACTGCATATTTTTAGACTTTTCGAAAGCATTTGATAAGGTGTGTCATAAGCTTTTACTTCTTAAATTAAGTCAGCTTAATCTCTATCCCAAACTTCTTACTTGGCTCGAATACTTTCTCATTAACTGTTCTCAGTTCGTTTCAGCTCACAGCCTCACATCTCCCCCAAGTGGCGTCCACCCCGGCGTGCCCCAAGGCGCTTGGCCCTCTCCTTTTTCCTATCGGCATTCATGACCTCTCTTCTTGTGTTTCTTCCCATATTCACTTGTTTGCAGATGACTGGGTAGTTTTCCGGGAAATTTTATGTGATAACGATATAACCACTCTTCAATCTGATCTTAACGCCATATCTGTATGGCGCAAAACATAATGCATGGAACTAAACCTTAACAAATGTAAACTTATGCGTGTCTCTAGAAAAACTATTACCTCCCCCGTCTACTCTCTTACTAGTGTGCCTCTATCTTCTTATAAATACCTGGGTGTGCACATTTCATGTAACCTAACTTGGAGCGTTCACACCTCGTACGTTAGTAATAACGCTAACCGCATGTTGGGTTATCTTCGACGTAACTTTGCAAAAGCACCCCTAAAACTACTACTCTACAAGGTCGCTCTAAACTCGAATATTCCGTTTCAGTTTGGGATCCAAGCCACGAAAACTTGATACGCTCACTTGAAATGGTTCAAAATAATTCTGTTTGTTTCATATTGTGTAACTACAATAGAACTGCAAGCATCAGTACAATGAAATCTAACCTTGATCCGCCATCCCTAACATCCCGCCGCAAAACCTCTCGTCTCTTTCACAAACTGTTTCTTCATCCCTCCTTGCGCGCCCAGCATATTTTACCCCCGCAATACATCTCATCTAGATTAGATCACGTTCATAAAGTCGGGATTCCGTCGTGTACAACTAACGCTTTTTTTCAGTCATTCTTTCCTCGCACATCAGTGGAGTGGAATGGCCTTCCCGCCCCGACAGCAACAATCAAAGATCCCCAGCAGTTCAAGAACGCCATAGCTAACATGGTATAAATAAGAGTCAATTTACTGTACTAATAACCACCGCATTTTTTAACTTTATACATTGTACCCACTCCCCTGTCTATTGCCTTTGGCCCCGAGGGTATATGAAATAAATAAATAAAATAAGTAAAGGCCGCAACAAACCATCGGACAACGTGTGATGCGGATTTTGGAGGAAACCAAAGAATGCATCATTTGGGAGATATAGTGAGAGAGAAGAATAAAATTCCAGACGTCCCTCAACGGGAGTCGTAGGGAAGCGAGCAAACCAACATTATCCGTAGAATAAAAAAGAAACATCTGGCATCTAATATTTTTTGGCATTCTGGTTGCGTCGCAGTTGCTCAGATCTGCCGTGGCATAGCGGGGTCCATCGAAGTAAGTCCAGCATGTTCCAACAGAGCCCGATATGGAAGGTGGCCAGAGCTGCATTTCCAGGCTGCAGCCAGGACAAATGGGCAATGCCGTGGGCCCCAGGAGGGCATCTCACGAGTGCCTTCCTTCCCGAGAGGCACACCTCGCCACTCGAGTGCAGGGTGGGCACCCTGCACCTGGACCCATTCAGTGGCAGCCTGCCCGGCAGACAACGTTTGGTCTGCCTCTTGGGAGGAAATACCACGCTCGTGGGCGTGTTAGGTTTCTCCTGGAGCTGATCACCACGCTGTTTTGTGCGATGCTGCGTTTTAGGGGTTGGTGACACATCGGGAGAACAGTTTCACACTCAAGATACTCTATACCACGCAGGATCAGCGGAGCCCGGTGATATGCTACGAACCTTTAACCCAATTTTATATCCGGGAAATATTTTAAGAAAAGGGCTAGTTGAGCAGCAAAAACATGCAAGACACACTTCCAACTACACATGAATCTTGACAATACAAAATCTAACCCAAAAGACCCAAAACCACCTTCGTTTTAAAGGCCTTACACAACCGGCTTTTGGATGACGCAACCTAGATTCTTTTTCAAATTAACTGCCATCTGGTGGTTCGTAAACCAGTTTAAGTTTCGACAAACTAATGCTGGTCGTGAAACTATTTTATCGGGCAGCGTCAACTTTGCGCAACAATGGCGGATAGCAATTAGTTCTTCGATCCCCTCGCAATTATTTCTCGATATATTTCATCACAATTGGAGCCAGCTGAACGAGGAAGGAAATCCGTAGGAGGAAGGGGGCAACACGATTCAGGCAAGAAAAAAGCAGAAGCAAAGGGATCTGCATAAGAACTAGTAGAAGAGGAGGACAATGTATTAAAATAGTCAGTAGTCCAACGGTTGCTTGTCTTTTCTGTTTCTCCTTCCTTCCCTGTTCAGCTGGCTCCACCCGTGATGCTTAATAAACAACCAGCTCATCCCTGTATGGATTTATTTCCTTCCTCGGGTGGTGCCAGCTGAACAGTAATTAACGCGGGATATTTACTGTTCAGCCGTTCAATTCAGCTGCACAATTCAGCTGGCACCAGCCAAGAATAGGATCCAACTAGCTGAGCCCCAACCAGTAGTAGGATTTATATCAGTTTCCACGTTGTGAACGTAAGAACTGACCGGTGCAAGGCCCACGGGCCCCCTCGTTAAATGTCCGCCATCGAGGGTGTGGACGTCCCTCCCTCGCACGGAGCGACTATCGCAACCGAATCCTATGACGACCGAGCCCAAGAGAGTCGCTCCGATAGACTACCTTCTGGTCCGGCGCCGTGAGGCTGACCGAGCGTGGCCGCGACGGAATTGGGGGAGCCGCCAGGTCCAGAGGCCTCCCTTCTCCTCCCCCGGGCTCCTCCTGGATGGGACACGAATAAACCCTGTGTGTCGGGTAGTAGCTTGCGCCATCTAGCCTAGTCAATAGGAGGCACGGGGTTGGCAGATGCGCTCTTTGCCTCCTGAAGCTAAGACACCGGCCCGTCCACCGAACTGGTGGGTGTTGTGGGTTTCTTCAAGATTCAAAGGGTCCCTTTTGATGTCGTAGAACCCTCGGCTTCCCAGAGTTGTGCCCAGATAGTGGGATGGAAATACTGCTCCCTTCTCCCAGGAAGCAGGCCCCCCCCTTAAAGAGATGCTCAACTCCAGACAAAAAAATTCCCTTCAAGTTCTCGGATAGGAGACATACGTATGTTACAAAATAAATGCTCCTCGAAAATAAAACAAAAATCTGGCGCAATATTTATGTTGCGAGACTCACTCTCAGTTAGGAGCAATTCTGAAACATGCTTCTAATTAGATTCGAACCTGTTGACCATGAAATGGGATTTCCAAATCACACAGATAAATAGATATCCGTTAAACTTTTTATCGTGGGAGCTTTGCTGACATATGAGCCCCTTTGAAGACTCAAGCGTGTAAAGGGAGGAATATCAGAACAAGGGACACTCTGTCGCCTTGGTGATGGTTTTGCTGAAACCAGAACCTTGCACCATGAGTAAAATCTATCCATGGCGTTGCCGTTTCCATCTCGCAGCTCGCCAACCTCCCAGAGTTCAAGCTAGTGCATGAAGGTTACGGAGTAATAATCAAAAATCACTTTGGAGAAGCGATTCATTGTCAGTTTCCAACTGTGTCTTATATAAATCGCCGCAAAATAATATTACGTACCAAAGTACTTTTTGTTCATTAAAAAGGTTATTGTAAAATACTTTGTCTTGACATATTGTTGATCTAAGAGTGTCCATCTCCTAGTCTTACATGATTACCTCTAAATTTTGAGTGGAGACCCGCTTAAAATCTTACAGTGGCTTTTTTTTTTTTTTGCATTTTTCGATTGTATAGTTTTCAGGATGTTACAAATATTTTTCTTACTGCAGCCCACGTAAGAGGTTCCTAGACCCCTGCCAAGGTGCTTTCTAGTAACCTTCTGTATGGGAGACCGTACAAAGTACCTCCGGAAAATAAAGTTTTAAGCTGAATTGAAAAAAAAAAAAACCAAGTAATGCAAAAAGAATGCAGGTATAACATTGTGAAAAGTAACGATAACGGTATTTCGTCCCATTTGCAGCGAGGTAACAAAACGCAATCATCTATTAAGTTTAGTCAACTTATAATAAAAAACCGCGTTTTTTCGTTTCTTTTCGGTAGCAGGTGCGACAATGTTGGCAGTGCTGTTTGAAGAGGTCAGGATTCCCCAACGGGTGGGTAGCATCCTGAAAGGCACTTGCGTTGCTCATTACGCATCTGCACTTATCACAATTTTTTTCAATGACTTCAGGTTGACTCGAATTCTCAAACGGAAGATTGACGTCGTTGTTTCGTTGCTCGTTCGTATTCCGCGAGGATAATGCCTAAAAATCTCGAGATAAGTTGCAGAAAACAAGTTTGAAAACAAAAAGAAAAAACGCCATACAAATTTATTCAGAACTAGTGTCGTTATGTAGGCAAGTTGGTTCATGGTAACGGAAAAAAAAAGCGCGCAAAAAATACTCAAGGACGAAAGGAAGGTGCGAACGACACAAGCGCTGAACAGCGCGAACACAAGCGTGAACGTCAGCACTTGTGTCGTTCGCACCTTCCTTTCGTCCTTGTGTATTTTTCGCGCGCTGTTTATTTCCGTTTCTTCAGAGCACAATAACAAAAGCCGAAAGCCCTAGCAAAAAGATATTGCCAACTGCCCCGCAATAGTGTTGCTACGTGAAACATTCTTGGTTTAGTGCTAGTAACCTCCAGGCATTTCTTCTCGAGCTGTGCCTCCAAGTCGCCCATTGACTTCTCGGCCCATTCCCCGCTGGGTCGGCCTGTGTCTTCGGGCCATGGACAATGCAGGCTAGCGGGGAAACTTAATTCCTGCGCAGGTCATGCGACGTCAATTTTCCCGCTTAATCTATTCAAGAAATTCCATTTGTGTATAGGTCCTGTGACACAAAGTTATGTGACGCCATTTCTCCTGCTAAATTTAGAGGGGAAACTGATTTCTTGTCGAGGTTACGTGACGTCAAGTTTCTTCCTAAATCTAGCGGGGAAACTGAATTTGTGTACGAGTCACACGACACGAAGCCACACAACGTCATTTTTCCCACTAAATTTAGCGGAGAAACTCGTAGTTATGCTTCTTGAGGCTCCACTTGCCCCCAATGATAAAAGTGAGGTGACCCCCTTATCGTTGCCCGCCAAAGCGCACAGGGCGGCCATCAGTCAGTGTGAAGGGGAGAGGGCACCTGGAGGCGGCTGTAGATGCAGTCGTCCGAGTCCTCGGGCAGCAGCAGCAGCTGGCCGTAGACGCTCGAGCCAGACGAGGAAGAACGGGTGCTCCCCCCGCACGGCTCGCACGATGCGGGCCTCTTGCCCGGGGGCACCGGGGGCAGTGGAGAGCTGCGAGGGCAACCCCGGCTCAGCGACCCCTCCAGGGGGCCATGCAACAGTTTTTGTACTCTGCACAAATACCGCTTAAAACGCATCCCCGACATTAATGAGCCTTGAAACACACATTCGTTTTTCGCCCCACGCAATACAAGTCCCATTAAAAATTAAAGAAAAAGGAGCACCAATCGCCCCCTCAACTCGCAGCCAGAACAAGCGGCCACGTGATCGCGGATCCGATTATATGCTGCCAATGTTGATCATAGCCACGAGTGCCGTCTGGTACCGCAAAGAGCAGTTTCTTTCGACAATGGCGGTTGCATTTTGTCAGGCAGCGTCACTCTCGCACATCAATAGCAGGTGAGAATCGGTTCTTTGATCGCCTCTTTCTCGATTCATTTCAGTTTGGACGGTGTGAACAAAGCAGCAGCCCCTCGATGAAATTTCTGCCCTCCAAAGACTTTAAAGCCCAACTTGTGCCAACAGACTGGTAGGACCACTCGCCAAAATAGACCCCTGAGTAGCCACTCTGTCTAATTCGTGCGTGGTGTTGTAGCAATGTCTTAGATGTACAGGCCCCATATATCCTTCGCTTGGTACATACCGTCAAACACTAGGGGTGTGCTAATACTAATTAGTAGTTATCGAATCAAATTAAGAAAAAAAAGCCAAACATTGAATCAAATGTTGATTAGCGATCTTATTTGTACGAATTTTTCAAAGTGTGCAGTGAATAAGAATAATTACATGTGCAGAGTATGCGCCTGGTGCAGAAATACGCATCTGGTACGGAACAAAAGCTAAAACGTAAAAAAGTTCTGGTGAAAAAAGGAAAGCAGCTGCTGATGAACGTGAACCAAAGATCCAATTTTATGGTGCAAACCTAATCCATTTACCTTAAGTCTCACAAAAAAACCCAAAGTTACAGTCACATGTTCCTTTTTCTCTCGTTAAAAGCACGACCTAACACCGCAACATGTCCTTTTTTTATGTTTATATATCTCAGAAACGGGGCATTTTGCGATGTGTGGTCTCAATTTTAAGGGCAAAAAACGGCACCCGGGATTTTATTTTATATAAATAAACAGATAGGCATTAAATCTGAGTGAACAGGCTTAAACAATATAACCTGAAGCAAGAAAAAAAAACGTGGTTAGGTGTCGGAAGTCACCATCCAACAGCCGCTATGCAGCCATTCCTCCGTCCATCTACCTGCTTTCAGAGAGCCTAGATCTAAAAGAGGGAGAAAGCAAAACAACGGAGACGGCTCCTGCCAACGTTATTGCTCCTGCGCAGATTGGTCGTAAGTGCGCACGTGTTGTGTTGTCGCATGGAAAGAAGGCGAGCAAATGGAAGAGCGACGATGCCTGCCAGACTGAAGCATTCGTAGCATTTGCATTCGTCTTTTCGTCACCTTCTCGCAGTTCGTATCTCAAACGGCGAACGGACTGTTGGAAACCCTCTCAAAGCTAGGTACGCTATTTTTCCGTTTCGAATTTGCAGCTTGCGGTTCCAAAGAAGGACTACGAGAACTCAGCTGGTTTCATCGGTCTGGTGAACGTGGTTTTCTTTCTGTGATCTTGCAGTCGCCGATTTCTGTGTGTGTGGCAAGTGTTTTACATCGGCGCTTCATTTTGAAACGAGGGGCTTTACTCGTGAAAAGAATCAGGCATGCTGTAGAATTCCAGCCACCCAACAATTCCTCTCCGGAAGTGGCGCAAACGGGATGTTTCGGTTGCGATTCAAGGCTAGATTGTGTCCCGATCGTGATTAAATCCGCATGTTATCAAGTTTGCGGCATTCGTTACTTTTCTTTTTTCTAACTACCTGCGCGTTAAGATTTTCGTGGAATGGTTTGACCAAGAGGTGTTTCTCGTACGGTCTGTCTAACATCACTGAGCTAACATCGGGAGAAAAAACGGCTCTTTTAACAGCTCCGAATATATTGAATATTTGAGTGACCAAATACTAGGAATTTGATTTGTGAATTGAATTATTCGGGAACTTGCTATTCGATTACAATTCATGTACTCGAGTATTCGTACACCCCTATCAAACAACTTTATAATGAAGTCCGCAGGGCCGGCAAAATCGTTCATAATACAGAAAACTTTGTTGTATGATTAAAAAATGTTTACTCTGGCTTAACAAAACAAAAATGACAACAAAGAGGATTTAGACATTTCGCCACCTATGCAGGTGGCATCTCAGTCATACTGACCAAAATTAGACGAGTGCTCAACGATTACTATTTATTGCCAACATCTCTGTAAATGTCGGACAGGGGGGCCCCCCCATTACCGTATTCACTCGCATAATAAACACTTTTTTTCCCAAAAAATTGACAGACATTTTGGGGGCGTTCATTTGTGTAAACTTTGTTCCGAATCCTGTATAGTTCGTTCTTTGTTTTTGCTTGTTGTTAATTTTTAACCTTAGTTAGTTCTTTGATTGCCATTGCATCTTGCATTTGTTTGTATTTTTCTATCCCCCCCCCCCCCCTCATGTAATACGTTCGAACGAACGTCTTCGAGGCGAATAAAACTTCAACTTGAATTACATTGGGAAAAATTTTTGCATTGACACACTTTGTGCAAATGTCATATTAGGTGTCAATATGACACGGCAAGGTACTGTGGCACGTCTCCACTGATGGAGGCACACCCATGACTGGTCGGGGTCGCGCCACAATAACCATGCTTTATAAATTGCAAACCTTTTTAGGGCGTTTTAGGGGTGCCTTTTGCCGAAGGAAAAGCGCCCTACGAAGCTCTCAGCACGAAAAGCAACACAACCACAACCGTTCTTAGGCTAATATCCGGCAGGCACGCTCAGGTAGAATCTGCGACTATGCATATAAGAGCTCGTAGGGACTGCATGCTCACGTACAATCCATGACTACGCGTATACATGCCTTACACCTACGTCACATGATGATGTCAAACACCGGTATGCACCATGCTGGTGGTTGACTCGACGGCCCTTCGCAGCAAGAGCAATGGTAAACTGTGCTGCGCTCGAAATTCTGACGATTGTCAGAATTTTGAGCCTCGTAAGAACTCGTACGAAGTCCAACCGCCGACCACCGAAGCCCGCTCGCACGGATCAAGTTTCGTTCAAGGAGACAAGAACTCGTACAAAGTCCAACCGCCGACCGCCGAAGCCCGCTCGCACGGATCAAGTTTCGTTCAAGGAGACAAGAACTCGTACGAAGTCCAACCGCCGACCGCCGAAGCCCGCTCGCACGGATCAAGTTTCGTTCAAGGAGACAAGAACTCGTACGAAGTCCAACCGCCGACCTCCGAAGCCCGCTCGCACGGATCAAGTTTCGTTCAAGGAGACAAGAACTCGTACGAAGTCCAACCGCCGACCGCCGAAGCCCGCTCGCACGGATCAAGTTCCGTTCAAGGAGACAAGAACTCGTGCGAAGTCCAACCGCCGACCGCCGAAGCCCGCTCGCACGGATCAAATTTCGTTCAAGGAGACAAGAACTCGTACAAAGTCCAACCGCCGACCGCCGAAGCCCGCTCGCACGGATCAAGTTTCATTCAAGGAGACAAGAACTCGTACGAAGTCCAACCGCCGACCGCCGAAGCCCGCTCGCACGGATCAAGTTTCGTTCAAGGAGACAAGAACTCGTACGAAGTCGAACCGCCGACCGCCGAAGCCCGCTCGCACGGATCAAGTTTCATTCAAGGAGACAAGAACTCTTACGAAGTCCAACCGCCGACCGCCGAAGCCTGCTCGCACAGATCAAGTTTCGTTTAAGGAGAGGCTACCAGACACTCTCAGCCTACAGTGGAGCGTGCACCTCGTTGTGCCATTCTGTTGCGGATTAAATAAACGCGTTTACCCGGAGTATGTGAAACTAGGCCTAACCACTTTCACGATTTCACTGTCCGAAAGCGGACCACAGACGACAGCTTGCTTGTTGACATCAATGCATCCGATAGGTGGAGAATGTCCGGGGCTTGGCGATTCCTCGACACAAGCTTCGTCAAGTGTGTGCGACGCTCGGTTTCATGGTTGATCACTTCCGTACATGCTCCGTAACTACCTACCGCAACTACGCACTTGGTGCCGTAACAGCCGTAACGTGAGCCACTGTGACGTGAGCAGCCTGGCCTGAATTGACTTGACCCGACCGCTTGGCGGCAAAAGAAAACTGGCTTGGTGGCTCGCTAAAGTGGACGCACTTTGAGACTCGCAGATCCGAAAATTGGAAATGCATTTATTACGGAAGGGAAAAAGAAAGTCAAAATATTGATGTCCGTTGTGGGGGCTGCGTTTATTATGCGAGTAAATATAGAACTTGCTATTCGATTAGAATTCATATATTCGAGTATTCGCACACCCCTATCAAACACCTTTATAATGAAGTCCGCGGGGCCGGCAAAATCGTTCATAATACAGGTAACTTCGTTGTATGAATAAAAAATGTTTACTCTGGCTTAACAAAACAAAAATGATAAAGAGGATTTAGACATTTCGCCACCTATGCAGGTAGCATCTCCAGTACATATTGGCACAAATGAGACGAGCGGTCAAACAGTTACTCTTTATCGCTGTTGTGTTTGTGCCGACAACAGCTACACCGCCGAATAATAACTGGGTTTTATTCGGTGACGGCCATCAGCGACCGCTTGTCCTGCTGCCGCTCGAAAGTCCCTTCACGCGCTCTCTGCTCGTGCACGCGCGTCGTGCTCGTCGTCGTCGGTGCGCCAGTTCAATCGCGATCGATTATGACAATCGCCAACAACCCCGTAAATGTCTAGCAGGGGGCCAGTTTGTGTTGTGCACGGATGAGTCATGACGAATAAACCATGACTCAAGCAGCTTCCTTGGGCCCCACCACTGTTCCAGCGCCGCTGCTTTGTCTAGGTCAAACGTGTGCCCCGTTGTCCAGCAGTTGTCGACAAAATCCGTCTTTGATTGTGTCGTGTGCGTGGCCTTGGCCATGTGTCTTCTGTGTTCCTTCAGTCTCGTTGCCCCCTTCCTTCCTTCTCGCCAAT